ACCTTTGTTGTTAACATACAGCTGTCTCCTAAACCTCTGTTTCAGGGGGTCTGTGCTTCACATTTGATTAACTAAAAGTCTGGTTCAAGAGATTTCTGCAGAACAAAGAAACAGCCTCCATTGGTGAATTACAGCTTTGACTTCTACAGAAACTTGAAATTCCAGGAAGCTCTGATATAAGGTTACCCATAGATACACACACACACACACACACACACACGCATATTTGTAGGACACACTTTACTATCTGTGTGTGTGTGTGTGTGTGTGTGTGTATAGCTTATCTACTCTAGAAATTGGTCAGACATGAATAATTTTTAAAGCAGCTGGATTGAATTGTCTTCTTGTGGGATTTGCATGGTAAGAAGTTTTCAGTATTTAATTTGAACAATGAGAAAAATATGGCTGCAGCTTGTCTGTTTGACAAAGAAGTCTGTCTTGGGGTCAGAAGCATTAGGAATCCTTAACAACCAGTCTGCACCATTATTTCAGAAAAATCTGGTGCCTGATTTGCCCAGCTCTACTCAAGATTTCTTTCTTTCTTTTATTCTTCCTCTCTCTCTCTCTTTTAATTAAGAAAAACCTCACACAGCCCTTTCTCTACAAAGTGAAATGTTATAATTGCTCTTAGCTCGCATTGATTTCCCTGGCATGACTTCTCCCACAACACAGTACCTCAGGGAAAGACTTAAGACCACGGAACCTGAGGCCTTAAGGTTTAGAAAAGTGAGTTTGAGGTTTTGTCGGGGAATTTTGACTCTATGCATTTATTCTACACTCAAATCTACCTGCGTTTCTTCATCCTTGTTCTCTTGCTGGCCAGCTGAGAAATTATGGCGATGAGAATGGCTGAACTTCAAAACTGCAGGCCTAAAGGTATCCAAATGATTGCATAGCCCAACCTCTGGCAGATGAAGTCTCACAAACCCATATCTTAAAGATGAAGCAATTGAGGCCAGGAGGCTCCTGACAGGGTCAAGGGCACAGAGTGGAGGAGAAGTTAGAACCCAGCATCTGGTTTCTCCTGCAGTGCCCTTACCATTAGAATCCAGCAATCTTAACTCCTTCCTGTGCATAAAGATCACCTGGGCAGTGGAGCTCTGCTGGGGGCCAGCAAAGCCCTCCCACCAGTATATTACATGTATGTTTGCTTTCAACACAAATCCCCTACCTTCCTCTCCCATATAAGCATTCCCATATAAAATTCTGGAGTCTACATAGTACCATCTGCTAATGTTTCTTTACCTTTGTTAAAACGCAGGTTCCAGGCCTTCGGTCCAGAGTATCTAATCCCACAGGTGTTGGGGGAAGTGAATGAACCTGACATTCCCCTTCCCCGCCCTGGCATGGTCCTATGGTCCGTGGCGCACACTTTGAGAAGCTGCTCCAGCCACCGTATTAACTGAGACTTCTAGAGTCTGCTAAGCCTTAATTCAGAGAAGCGCTTCTTTTTTTTTGCAAAATACAAGACCTGGAAGATCTTGCCACGAAAGAGGTTTTGAGAAAAGAGTTTCTTCGGCAGTTCTCACTCTGATGTGGAACAGCCTTCTTTAATTAGCTGACAGGTGGGGTCTTCTGAGAAGTGTGGAAGGAACTGAGTTTATTTAAAGGTATCCTTGGGGGATCATGAGGTCAGGAGTTTGAGACCAGCCTGACCAACATGGTGAAACCCCGTCTCTACTAAAAATACAAAAATTAGCCAGGAGTGGTGGCATGCGCCTATAATCCCAGCTACTCAGGAGACTGAGGCAGGAGAAATTTTTGAACCTGGTGTCCAAGAAAGCTGGGCAAAAAGCCTGAAGTCCTCAGTGGAGGAGGCTCCTAGTGCAAGGAGTGGAAAATGAGGGACAGTGAGGGGAAGCATTGGTGGAAGGTGTACAGAACCTGCTTAGAGCTCAGCTTGGATCTTGAGGAAAACTGGCAACTGGGTTCTACCAAACAACTCACTGCAGCTGTTGTTTCCTTGAACTTTGGCCTACATTAATGAAGAATTTGGGGCAAATTTTTCACAGGTTCTTCACTTTATTTTTAAATTTTTTGATGATAGCTTTATTGAGATATAATTCACATACTCTACATACAATTCACCCATTAAAGTGTAAATTCACTGGTTTTAAATACATTCACAGAGTTGTACAGTCATCACTATAATCAATTTTAGAACATTTTTACCACCTTAAAAAGAATCCACATATCCTTTAGCCATCATTCCCCACCCCCCCACGCCCGCAATTGCCCCTTTTCCCAATCCCTAAGCAGCAGGTAAACTACTTTCTGCCTCTACAAATTTCTCCATTCTGGACAACAAATGAAATCATATCATATGTGGTCATTTGTGACTGGCTTTTTCACTTAACATAATTTCTAAAATTTTTAATTATTATGAATATATAATAATTGTGCATATTTATGGGGTACATGTGATATTTTGAACCTTAGTATGTTTGGAAAGTTTCTACATGTTGTAGCATAGATGAGCACCTCCTTCCTCTTTTCCTGATGAATATATTCCATTGGCTGCATATTCATGTTTTGATTATTCATTCATCCAGTTGACTGACACTTGGGTGGCTTCACCTTTTGGCTATTGTGAATAATGCTGCTATTTGTGCACTAGTTTTTGTTTGATTATGTTAATGTCTTTTGGGTATGTACCTAGGAATGAAATTAGTGGGTCAGATAACATCACTATACTTGACTTCTTGAGAAATTGCCAGGCTGTTTTAGAAAGCCTTCACTTTTTTTTTTTTTTTTTTTTAATTAAGACAAATGGAAATCAATGGCTCTGAATCATCCTATAAGAGCTTAGTTACATACAGCTTGCTCAGGTCTAACTAAAGACTTATTTTAAGCAGTGTTTGGGAGACGCAAAGAATCAAGCTTGTTTACAAAAATCCCAAGCCCAAATATTTGAGCTTTTAATTGGCATAATTTTAAAGGCTTGGGTAGTTTTACATAGATTTGTGTTTATAACCAGAGAAAGAAACTCAGTTATAAATGTGGCCAATAACAACAAAAAAAAAACATGACTTAATTAGTGGCTTTGTAAAAGGTTAGTCATGTTATGAGTAAAGCCTCTAAGATGATATAATCATTAATTTCCATTATTTTTGCTATCATCTGTTTCTGCATGGGGAAAAAGGCTTTAAAAATGTTAAGAATAAAATGCTTGGAAATACTTTATAAAGTATTTAAGTATAAAATATACACAGAGACACACACAAATCATAAGTGTAACTCCATGAATTTTCACAAAATGAACTTTATTCATATAATTAGTACCTACATCAAGAAATAAATAGTCACCAGCACCCCTTGAAACCCACTTTCCAGTCATAATAATGTCCCTCCGCAAGGGCCAGAGGATACCCTGACTTCTAACAGCAGCATTCTTAGACACAAATAATACATTTTTAATGGTAAGTTTCAGGTGTCAAGAACTGGCCAAAGAAATAGATTTGTTTAGCTGAGAGAATTTCTTAAGACTCAGTCAGACTTACTATATTGCATGGTGTAATACATTGTTAAAAATTAAATACTGTTAAGCTTGTATATAAAACAGAGTATAACCTCAGCTCTAAGACGCTTTTAATTTAACATCAGCTGCAATTTCAGAACATATACTGTAAGGCAGTTTTTGAAAGTGCACGAATCAGCAGACTTTAAACACTTATTTTGAAAGGCATTTCAGTTTTCCTCCAGAATTTGAATTTATTCATGGGAGCAGTCTCTAAAGGAAGTCTTAGGCACCATTAATGACATGTGCTTTAATAATTTAAGAAGTGTATACGTAAATTTGGGCACATTGATAGTTTATCACATTGTGGGTTAAAGTAACAAGCAATATAAATACAGCTTCCACAAGCAGAGCATAAAAACTGACACACGCTTTTCTTGGTTTATTGGGTAAGAGGATGTTAATACGCTAACCTTACGATAAGACAGCCTTTCTAAGACAGTAACTAACTGCAAAGAACACCGCTGTGGTTCTTACCAGGAAAGAAAGTCCATTATAATCATTTTAGGCACGAAACTTTCTACGCATTAGAATTATTCTGAGGTGAAAAGTTATGCTGTTAAGAAAATTCATTTTGCAAAGAGGAATAATCTTTTTTTTTAAGCTCTAAAGATTTCTTATAAATTAGCAACGTAGCTTAGGATTCTATTAGGATATTTCCTCGGAAGTTGGGGGGTTCTGTGTTCTACCAGGTGATGCCTGATAGATGCCTGATATAGCTCATGAGTTGATGAGAGGACAGAGAGTAGTAACCCTTGCCATGCGCTCCGGACTGCCCCGGGTACTTTCTTTACGGATGCTGGATGCTTCCAAGGTAATCCAGTCCTTTCGTTCCCGCTCCTACCGAGGTGCCGGGAAAGCACCCCCGCGCCGTTGCGGGCCAGGCAAGTCCTGCGCCCTGCGAGCGGTAACTGAGCTCGGCGTCGTCCTTCCCGAAGTCCTCGGCTTACGCCTCTTCCCGTCGAGTCGCCCCCAAAGTCCCTCCTCCAGACATTCCCTTCCTTACGGGGGCAAAAGTTTAAGGGTTGGCTCCCTTCCATTTAAGTGCGCCGGGGTCTCTCTGGTGGCTGGACCTGGACCGTAAAGGGGCCCGAGTGTCCGCGGCGCTTTGCTTGCTCTTCTCTAGCCCCAGCTCGGCGGGTGCGGACAGACGCTGACACTGTCGGTGGCCGGCGCTGACGCGTCCTGGCCGTGGGGTGCCTCCTAGCTTGAGGGACTCATTTACATATTTGGGGCAGGGCACTCTCCCAGGACCCCAGGAAGCCGGCGCAGGTTCGTCGGGGACCCGGCGCAGCGCGAGCACGGGGTGCGCGTGGGTGCGAGTGAGGGTGCGCCCGGGGCCAGCGGTAGGCGGACCCGCCAGGCGGCAGGTGGGTGCGGCCGGCTGGAGCCAGGGCAGCGCGGCGGCGGCGGCAGCAAGTGGTTGGGCCGTGCGCATTTCCTTCCCTCCCCCTCGGCCTCGGAGCCCGCCCGCGGCGCCCAGTGTGCGGCGCCCTCGGCTCCGCTCGGCGTCCCCTCCCAGCCGCCGCCGGCCGCTCCCTTCCCCGTCCGTCCATGTCCCTGCCCGTGGTGCTCCCGGGCTCCTGCTGCCCCGTGGCTGGGCTTTCGGGCGGGCCGCAGGCCGGGGGCCCGGGAGCCGTCGCTGCCGCCGCCCAGGAGCCGCCGCTGCCCCCGCTGCGGCCGCGCTGGCCCCGGGGCGCGCTGCAGCCCCCGGCGCGGCCTCGCTGCGCGGCCGCAGCTGCCGCCGGGGTGCTGGCCGCGCCGCCCGCGCTCTCCTCCCGCCGGGCAGCCGCCGCCGCTGCCGCCGCCGCCCCGGGCTCCGCGCTCCTGCCCGCCCGCCCGCTGCTGTCACTCGGGCTGCTGCAGCTGATCCTGGGCTGCTGCATGGTGGCGCTCAGCTTCGGGGCGCTGTCGCTGAGCAGCTCTCCGCAGGTGAAGAACTCGTGCCCGTTCTGGGCCGGCTCCTCGGTGAGTACTGCGCGCGCGCGCCGCTCGCCGGCCCACTCCGGGGATAGGGGGCTCTGGTGGATCCCCTCCATTGCTCCTTAGTTGTCCTCCAGGGCTGCAACTGGGGGAGCCTCACGTCACCTGAAGTTTTTGGAAGCTGGAGAAAGATGGTTCGCCACAGTCGAGTTCAGGGGTGAATTGGGTTGCACCTGGGTAGTGTCTGCGGCGCGCAGGCTAAAGGATTTTATTGTTCCTGTCAAGCTAATAGAATCAAACGAAGACTCCCGGCTTTTTGGGAGATTGAAAGGCCAGGATGTGGGTGGCAGGAAAGTGGGAGGAAAATGATTAAACTTGTGTTGGTCATTGAGTAATTACTGCACTGACAACATCTGTGCTGAGAGGCCAGGGATTTTGATCATTTTTGTCCACTGATGTATCAAGAATGCCTGGCACATAGTAGGTGTATTTGTGGGATGGGACAGGTTGACTGGGGCACATCGCTTGTTTTATGCTGCATTAAGACACACGTACTTGTGAAATGTGTAGGGTGGCTCGACCCCCAGACAAATTCAGGAGGTAATGAGAGGGTGTGTGTGAACTGGCACTTGGTACCTGGTCATTAAAGGAGGGCCTTAACCCTAGTGGGTTCCTGGAGCCGTGCAGGGTGCTGCGCAGAATTCAGTTTGTGCGAACCGAGACCTGTCATTACGGATGAGCTGGCCAAAGCTCCTGGAACGCCTGGCAGCTAGCTCTCAGAGAGATGTCTGCTCTCCAGGACCCACTCCTCCCTCCTCCAACCAGGAACGCTGAGCCTGGGGCCATAGAGTGCCCAACTCCAGAGAAAAGCTGTGCCAGCCAGTATCTATGGACACCGGGTGGCCACTCCCCCCTGCCTCCTAACAATCTCACAACTTCCAAGGCATCCAAACCCTTGAAGTTTGCTGAGTGTGAAGAGACTTGGAAACACATCCTTGTGGAATGTATGTGGAAGATGAGCACAGCAGAGTAAATAACCTTTATATATCTTTTTTAAAAATTTATTTGTTTTTTATTTTTAAGGGACAGGATTTCCACATGTTGCCAAGGCTATTTTGCATCTCCAAGTGGTCCTCCTGCCTCGGTCTCCCAAAGTGTGGGGATTATAGATGTGAGCCACCACACCAGGCTGTAAATAACCTTTCTATGTACTCACTATGTAAATCTGAAAGTTGGGCATTGCTGATAGTTTTTAGTTTTCATAAGATCTGTAATCAGTGCATGTCCTGAATGGTGAGAACTGCTTTTACAGTTCCACACATACCCCAATTCAAGACCAAATTGAAAAAAAGGATTCGAAGAACTCATTGAACCCAAAATAATTGTTTGAATAAAAACACTAAGAACATTAGGTTCCTTGAGACTCGCCTGAAGTTGTATACTTCATCCAGTGCCAGTTTGCTTTCCTTTTGAAATACTTTCATATTGAATGATCTTATTGAGGTACATGCTGTGCTGTGGTGAGCAAAGGCCACAATTTGTGCCTCATGTAGAAAAAAAATCCCACCCTGATGGCCCTGCCTGTGGGCTCTGCCACTGGCCTCTTTGAGTGTTCTGGGAAACTCCAGAAAGATGGATATTCCAGACAGGATAGGAATTAGACCCATTATGCTACTTACTGTGCTTGTCTGACTAAATCCAGCCAAATGGTGGATGCATTTCATTTCTCTAAATACTATGGGCCAGTAATAATCTTGCATATATTTTAAGGAATTTGCTCTTTATAAAATCATACTCTATTGTCTTCTCAAACATAGCTTTTTTTTTTGGTCTTCTCAAATTAAAGGCTGAAGTCAGTTTACTGTTGTGAATCATTTCAGAGGTAAGTACAGTTAGATATCAGTCAAGCCACAGTTGTATTTGATGAAGTATCAAAAAAAAATTATATAAAGTAAAAGGCCTTCAACCAGAAGGTGAAGGTTAATACGCCTGGTCTGCTGGCTGGGTATGCCCTTGTCTTCAAGTCTGAGCACACCAGAGCAGAGAAAGAAATCAGTGATTTGGAACTGACAAGTCCCCTGCTATATATCTTTTTCCCATACTTCCCCATACCCTCCAAACCCAGGTCTATATGCAACTTTGTAACTGTTAGTTATTCCTACTTTTTGTGACTTATTCCTGAGGTTGGCCTCAGAATTTGCAAAGTGACAACAGAAGCAAGAGATACTGTATTTATAGAACAATTAACTAAATACGGTTTTAAGAGGATGGCATTAGGCACCATGACTCTCTTGGTGCTTTAGGAAAAAAAGCCTTGTGTCACATGGTTTGAATTTATGTATGCGACAGTTTTTTTTTTTTTTTTTTTTAAACCTCATGTTATGGAAAGTTTACATTTATGCACTATCTGATCTGAATTCATGATCATCTCTGAGTCTATGATTCTTCCAAGATTCACTTTCATATAAAGAGACAGACATTGGTAAACTTGAGGGTAAACTTTAAAAAAAAAAATTGCAATGAGTAAACATAATGAAAAATCAATGGATCAAAGAAAAAAAACGAACATAAAGATTATGGTTACTACCAGTTAAATGATAGTAAATATTTTTTTATTATACTAATCAAATGCTACTTTAGTATTTAAGGGATATTTAAAATATAATTTTTGGGATGAGTTTATTGGTTTCTTTGGTCCTTCATTTTGCATATCAACAGAGTCACATTTATAAGTTCTGTGCCTCTCAGCCTTGGTTAGTCATCTGTAAAATGAGTGGGATGCTTCTTCTTCAAGACTGATTTTGTGAGTATATATAGGAGAGTGCATCACTGCTGGACCCAAGCACCAGACCAGGCATACACGGGAACCTCTATCAGTGGTTTTTAAATGTTGAGGTAATATTTAATCAACGTAAAGTGAATAGACTAGTATTTTTGTAGGACATTATAGTATTATCACATTTTTTTTTTTTTTTTTTTTTTTTGAGACAGCGTTTCGCTCTTGTTACCCAGGCTGGAGTGCAATGGCACAATCTCGGCTCACCGCAACCTCCGCCTCCTGGGTTCAGGCAATTCTCCTGCCTCAGCCTCCTGAGTAGCTGGGATTACAGGCACGCGCCACCATGCCCAGCTAATTTTTTGTATTTTTAGTAGAGACGGGGTTTCACCATGTTTACCAGGATGGTCTCGATCTCTCGACCTCGTGATCCACCCGCCTCGGCCTCCCAAAGTGCTGGGGTTACAAGCTTGAGCCACCGCGCCTGGCTATCACATTTTCATTAGAAATATTCAGTTGCCTAGTTTCTCAATTTGTTTTTTTTATTTTAATGAGCTACGCTAGACAGATGGGGAAGAAACACACACACACACACACACACACACACACACACACACACACACACACACACTTTTTTTTTAAATTGCCAGCATAAGAGCTATAGGGCAGTGTAGGTTGTTGAGAAGTTTGACAAAGTATTTTCTGCTTATTTACTAAGTAACATGGGGCATTTACAACATGGCTCTTTTTTAATCTCTGTGTTTATATGCAGCAGCTTTTGATACATGATTCAGAACATTTTTGCTCTAATACATGTTAATGGATTAGCAAAGGGAAATAGGGCAGTAGAATTATAAGATTCTGATCTTAACGATTTGATTTTTACGTTGGAAAGTGAAAGCACATTAACCATTTATGGTGGGTAACAATGACTCTCCCCTGGGGTATCTCAGAGTCTGTCTTTGCAGTATCAGAAAAAAGGAAAGGCCTGTGCTTTTTCCTGTAAGCTGCAAGAAATGGGTTATAAGTGAGTGTAACAAAAATTGTAATAAATTTCATTATAATAATATAGAGATTGTTTGATGTTGGAAAATAGGTTCTTACCTGTTCATTCAGGGCAAGTTCCATCTTGTGCTGGATGTAAAGAATGCTGATGGAGTTGCTTTTTGTTGCTGCTGTACTTTTTTAGGAAGCACAGGGGATGAAAAATCTGTTTAGGCTTACACAGTTATCTTCAAGCAAGGTCATCTCCTGCTTCTAGTCTCCATTCATTCATTCACTCATTGACTCTTGTCATAACTAAGTGAGTGCCTTCTGGGAGCCTTTGGTGGTGTGTGAGTGAGTACGCACAGGTCCAAGACCGTTAAACATGTAATAGCATTGTGGCATAATGGGAGCCATGAAAGGACATTGTTAAGGGACCTTCTTGACTTCTTTCTGATGGAGCTCCACCTACTGCTGTCACTGAGGGAGATGGAAGCATTGAATACTGTGCCTCAATCTCTTCTTTTCCCAACGCTTTTCCCCATCCATGAATTCTACCTCCCCTTCAGATGAAATGTAAGCATCATTCCTTAAGTCTTAAGCTCTTAAAAAATTTATCCCCAACTGCAGCACCTCTGTTCCCATTACCATTCCAGAAGCTTCTAACCGTCCAGCCCTACTTCCTCTATTTGCCTTTCTCCCCATCACCACTCACAGGGTTCCCCATGTGCCTCAAGGCTTCATTGGGCTTGAAGAGAGGGAGAAGCTGAATAGAAGTAGGTGTGTGCCTTCGTTGTGGGGTTCAGGAATGAAAAGTTGCAAATACAGCTCCAGTCTGGAGCTGGAATGTAGTTTCTCAAAACATTATAAACAGCGGTGGCTTACAAGAATCCTATTGGGATTTAACTTGAGTATGTGCTGAGTCTATAAAACAATTTAAATGGAAATGACATTCTTAGTTTGTCTTCAATCCATAGACTTAATACATACCTTGGCTTACTTGGTTATTCATTTAATATTGTGCAATAAACTTTGTATTTCTCCCCACTGAGGCCTTAAAGATCTTTCTCATCTATATTTTGAGATTATTGATGTTTCTCATTTGTCATATACATCTTGTACATACTTTTAAAATTACGTTTTCTATAGTTTTTTGCTACCATATGCAAACAAAATACCACCATTCCAAAGGAAGAAATAAAGATAGCTTAGTTCTTTGGCTTCAGAGACACCTCATTTGAAATGACAGTTGAATCTGTCATGATCTATTAAAGTAAAAAGATAGAAATACCTTTCAACTTAGAAACTTCACTCATGGGACTTTTTACTGCTGAAATAAAAGCACTTGTTTTAAAAGATATATGTTCATAGATGTTTACTGCAGCATTGTTTGTGAGAGCAAAAAACTAGAAACAGAATGAATGCCCATGAATATAGAAATGACTGAATACATTCAGTACAGCCACACAATGGAATGTTATGTAGCCATTCAAGTGAAATGAATTAGAGCTATTCCGATGGACGTGAAGAGGTTTCTGTGAAGTATTTAGTGAGCGAGAAAAGGAAGAAGCGGGGAAAGTGCATCTTTTATGATTTTTGTTTAAAAAAAAATCACATCCTGTGAGTGTGTATATATATATACAAGTAGGCATATGTGTATAGTAATAAGAATTTAGAGAAAAATACAATCATATGTAAAATCTGTACACATGCTAGATTGTTAACATGGAGGAGGGTGGGGTGATGTGGCTAGGTAGGGGAGATAGGAAGAATAGTTTAGGCATATCTCTATTTTATCTCTATTTTATGGGCTTTTATGGCCTGGGCTGGACACTTCCTTTTAATAATACTGTTTTTTGTTTGTTTCTTTGTTTTTGAGACAAAGTCTTGCTCTGTCACCCAGGCTGGAGTGCAGTGGCATGATCTCGGCTCGCTGCAACCTCCATCTCCTGGGCTCAAGCGATTCTTTTGCCACAGCCTCCTGAGCAGCTGGGATTACAGGTGTGTGCCACCACGCCCAGCTAATTTTTGTATTTTTAGTAGAGACGGGGTCTCACCATGTTGGCCAGGCTGGTCTCAAACTCCTGACCACTGCACCCAGCCAATAATATTGTTTTAATGGAAAAAACATATTCCAGAAAGCTGAACCACAGTGTTCTGTATTTAATGGAGACCAGTAGCATTAATGTGAAACACTAACCGATAATTCAAATAATATTTTTTACTAAATTGGGAGATTCGTGTTTCCCTTAAGTGCAGTCAAATATTAAGTTATGTTTTCACAAAACAGCTTGCATTTCCTCAGCTAAGTCTAGTAGGCACCAGAGTGGGCATGTGGGATACTCACACATGGGGGCACACACATGCACATACATGTGCACACACATGCAAGCACAGGCACATGCACACATGTACCCATGCACACATGCCTGCACCCTGGGGCACAGATTTCTGAGGAATTTCTGTCATCACTATAAGGTAAGTCTTTTGAGCTAGAAGAGACTAAGAAATGGCTTCCTTTTCCCTTACAGCATTTCTAAGGAAATGAGTGAGGACCCGACAAGTCAAATGACTTGGCCAAGGTCTCATAGTTAAGTCTTTAGAAGCTGAGTGGGGGCCTGGAACCCAGGATCTCATGGATTCCAGTCCCAATTTGTAAAGTATGTGTAACTTAGACACTCTGAGCCACACATGCCCTGCCCTGTGTCTCCAGGCAAAAATTGTTTAGGGTAAGGAAATATCCTACTGGATTTTAAAGGGATTGCAAGGTTATAGTGCCTGGTAGGCAGGCAGGTAGTAGTACCTTTAGACATAGATGGCACACAGAGAAATTGCCACCTATCTGCCTGTACATGGTTTTTGATTCTTGATATAAGAGGATAGACTTGTCCTCTGCTGGTCTGATGCTGCAGGATAATTACTCTCAGCTAGTGAGAATGGAGAATATTGCAAGCAGGCCTGTGTTTTGAATTTGAAGGGACACTGTCCAATCCTTACTGATTTGTAGTTGATAAACTGATTATAAATTGAAGCATTTGAGCGATTTGAATAAGCATAATGTGCTTGTAGAGGAAAACCCTCATAGCTGCATCCAGCAGGCACAGTTTATTATACAAAGCTGAAAGTGCTCAAGTGGCATCAGCATATCCCAGGCTGAAATATCACTTTAATCATCCTTTCTCAATTGTTTATCAAACGTGTTATCCAGAGGGCTGACCTTGGTTTCCAGTTATGTTTTTTTTAAAATACTGGCCTCCTTTCCCTTTCCTCCCTCCCTCCCTCCCTCCCTCCCTCCCTCCCTCCCTCCCTTCCTTCCTTCCTTCCTTCCTTCCTTCCTTCTTCCCTTCCAGGCTGGAATGCAGTGGCACAATCTCAGCTCACTGCAACCTCTGCCTCCTGGGTTCAAGCAATTTTTATGCCTCAGCCTCCCAAGTAGCGTCACCACGCCTGGCTAATTTTTTGTATTTCAGTGGAGACAGGGTTTCACCATGTTGCCCAGGCTGGTCTTGAACTTCTGAGCTCAGGCCGTTTGCCCGCCTTGGCCTCCCAAAGTGCTAGGATTACAGGTGTGAGCCACTGCGCTCAGCCTGGTTTTTCCTTATTCAGATTTTTTTAGCTCGTTTTTAATTGAAGTGTCATTTTGCAACATGAACTCCTTCTCACAGTCGTTTCCCCCACTTTGTGGAATAAATGCTCTAGAACATATATTAATTGCCAACAATTAGGACGCAATTCTGGGAACTAGGACTTTAGAGCCACAAGACAGAAATTCACAGTTAGTACGTAATACAAATACAAAGTCCTAAATTATTACAATAGAGTTTTTGGAAAAAATAAAGTATGTGCAGACGGCTTCCACGAGTGTGGAGTGGTGGAATCGGTGAGGGCTTCTCGGAGCAAGTGACTGTGAAATGGAGCCTTTCAGGATGGGTAAAAGTTCTCAGGCAGCTAGGAGGGAAGCTGGGAGGACAGAACACTTCAGCAAAGAGAAAGAAGCAAATGGCCCAGGAATGCCTGGAGCCTGGCTGCCTGAGGGAGGGCAGGTGTACTTGGAAGGAAGGTATGTCGTGGAGAGGCTGGGGTATGTAAAAACCAGGCTTGAGAGTGGGCAAGAGAAGATCCTGAAATGCCTTGTTTCCCTTTTCGAAGACTTTACCTATCCCGTATGGGATGGGTACCTGATGAAGGGAAGGATGCCACCAGACATACATCTTATGAAGCTGACCCTGGCAGCAGATTGGGTGCTGCTGGAACAGAAATAGTGATTCCTCACTCACCAGAAGGAGAGGCTAATTTCTGACTGTGTGTTCTTAATTGACATTAAGGAAAAACAGGCCAGATACGGTGGCATGTGCCTGTAGTCCTAGCTACTGAAGAGGCAGAGGCGGGAGGATCACCTGAGCCCAGGAAGTCAAGGCTGCAGTGAGCCATGATAGCGCCATTGCACTCCAGCCTGGGTGGCAGGCAAGACCCTATCTCTAAAAGCAAAACAAAACAAAATTATACAAAGTCAATAAAAAAGCTTTGAGGGCATGGAAGTAAAAGTCCAAAGTGGTCTATTGAGGTGAACCTTGTAATTGAGCGGGAATATTAAATGTTTGATTTAGAATGCTTTGAAATTTCAGTATCTTTACAAATACGTACTTTTGAGACTGAGGATTTATTTATTGGAATTGGTCCATTTGCTGTATTTATGATGGTTTATCATTACAGGTGATACTCTCTGGAATCATAGGATTAACAACTTGGAAAAGGCCTATGATACTCCTGGTATGTACTGATCTTATACATTGCTACCCTTTATAAAATGTGCTGTGTATAAAGTCTGTCCAAATAAACCATTGAAGAAATACTTAAGCTCCCTTGTTCATTAAAAAAATAAGTTAACAGTAGATAATATTAGAAGTCAGATATCTTATAACAAGTAAGATAATTTTTGCTGGTTTTCTGATTCACTTTAAGCTCCTTAAGTACCCAGTGCTATACAAGTGTCTTTAGTTCCAGCATTAAACTCATCCTAAAGATAGAATTTTTTAAAAAACTGCTTACTGGCCGGGCGCGGTGGCTCAAGCCTGTAATCCCAGCACTTTGGGAGGCCGAGGCGGGTGGATCACGAGGTCGAGAGATCGAGACCATCCTGGTCAACGTGGTGAAACCCCATCTCTACTAAAAATACAAAAAATTAGCTGGGCATGGTGGCGCGTGCCTGTAATCCCAGCTACTCAGGAGGCTGAGGCAGGAGAATTGCCTGAACCCAGGAGGCGGAGGTTGCGGTGAGCCGAGATCGTGCCATTGCACTCCAGCCTGGGTAACAAGAGCGACACTCTGTCTCAAACAAAAAACAAAAACAAAAAAAAACAAAACAAAAACCCTGCTTACTATGGGCAGTTTTAAATATACACAGTAGTGGAGGGAGTAATATCATGAACTCCCTGTACCCATTGCCCAGGTTCCATAATGATTAACTTCCAGCTAGTCTTTACAGCTATACCACCCATTTCCTCTCACATTCTCTCTCTCTCTCTCTCTCTCTCTCTGTCTCTCTCTCTCTCTCGCTCTCCCCATATATATATATATATATATATATATATATATATATATACACACACACACACATATATATGTGTGTTTTGTTTGTTTTGTTTTGTTTTGTTTGAGAAGAAGTCTTACACTGTCACCTGGGCTGGAGTGCAGTGGCATGATCTTGGCTCATTGCAGCCTCTACCTCCTGGTTTCAAGCAATTCTCCTGCTTCAGCCTTCCAAGTAGTTGGAATTACAGGCACCCGCCACCACACCCAACTGATTTTTTGTATTTTTAGTAGAGATGGGGTTTCACTATGTTGACCAGGTTCGTCTCAAACTCCTGACCTCAGGTGATCTGCTGGTCTGGGCCTCCCAAAATGCTATGATTATAGGCGTGAGCCACTGTGCCTGGCTGTGGTTCTTTTTTTTTTTTTTTTTTTTTTTTTTTTTGACACAGTCTCACCTTGTTACCCAGGCTGGAGTGCACATTCTCGGCTCACTGCAACCTCCGTCTCCCAGGTTCAAGCGATTGTCATGCCTCAGCCTCCTGAGTAACTGGAATTACAGGTGTGCACCACCATGCCTAGTTAATTTTTGTATTTGTCGTAGAGATGGGATTTCACCAGGTTGGCCAGACTGTTCTCAAACTCCTGACCTCAAGTGATCCACCCGCCTCCACCTCCCAGAGTGTTGAGATTATAGGCATGATCTACTGCTCTCAGACTCCTCCATATTCTTTTGAAGTAGATCTCTCATATAAACCATGAATATGTGACTTTTTATTGTTACAATGTTTGAGTTGAACAACCTCAGAATTTTGTTGCATAGATTTGCTATATTGTTTCTTTACCACATAAATATTATATTTTCTTGGTAATATAGACATATACTGGTGATTTAATCTTTTTTGTTATTGAGGTAAAACTTATATAACAAAATGAATCATTTTAAAGTATACAGTTCAGTGGCATTTTTAGAGCATTTCCAATGTTCATCATTTTTTTTTTTTTTTTTGCTATGTCATTTTGATTCAGGGACTGTAAACTTATCATTTACAGTTTTAAATGATACATTTAAACTTATCATGTAAAGTGAATCAAAATAGACAATGCTAATGGAGTTTCCAACTTTCAAGGATAAAATAGAGGGTCTAGGAAATGCGATTTGAATTGTGGTCTACTTAAAATTTTTTCTATATAATATCTCTTATTTGTCTCAACCGTCTTGAAATGGAGTTAAACATTTTCTGAAGCCATTTTGTTATATATGCTTAATAGTTCATCTTAAACAGATCATTGTTTGCTAGGCAATGGGCAATCAATACAAAACTTCTTAAATTCTTAAGTACAAAGAGAGGAAGCACATTACGGAATCTTTGTGTGTCAGAATAATTAATGGATCCCAATACCGTGCTGATGTTCTTGAAAAGCTAACCTGAAGCATTTTTAGGCCCACAAGATGACATATGCAACATTTTACAACTCCATCAATGATTGTATTTCATGAAATTCCTTTAATAATTTTGGAAAGAATAAATGATCAACATAGCATTTTAATATATTAAACTGCAGGATGAGAGAAAATGAGACTTTGGGTGAGTTTTATAGCCTGTGTTATAAGTGGCTGAAATGTGTTTCACAACGACTCTCTAGGTTTACGGTCTCTATGAAAAATTTTGGTTGGTGTTTAGTGTTTATACTAGTATTTGGTAACAGGAATCTCATTTGTTCCATTGGGTCAATATTAAAATGCTCAGTAATACAAATCTCCAATATTTAAATTGAATTAAAAGAAGAAAATCTTCAGTGGTATTTGTACTTTGAAAATTCCAAATGATAAAGAAAGTATAAGTGTGTTCTGGGTAGATTCAAGACAGTATACCTATTAAGGCATTTATTTCTTTGACATTCTGTCTTAAAAGTTGCCTTACATATTTATTATGTAAGCTTAAGCAGCCTTAAATGAAAATGACCCTCTCTTATTACATTCTTATCCATTTATTTCTCATCTTTGTTAAGTGTATGCACTTTGTCACAAAGTTGTAACCAGTGTGTACATACTATGTCATACACTGCTTTTTCTGATTAATATTGAATTAATTATTATCAGGTTTTCATGTATGGGGAGTCTACATGCTTTCATTTAAAACTGTAAGCAGGCTTCTGCCTTATTTCTGTATCATCAGTTTTTACCCTATTGTTGGACATTTGAGCTTCTATATTTTGGCTTCTATGAGTTACATATTTGGAAGGTCATATAGAGATTGGTTTGAAATGTTAATTAGCATCAATTCATAAAAAAGATAATTTTTAGAGATTCTACAAGGAAAAAGTTCCTATCTATTGATAATTGAAGACTTAGTCAATATCCCAAATGAAAAATCCTCAGTTCATATGTATTTTTTATTTTTTTTGAGACAGGGTCTTGCTCTGTTGCCCAGGTTGGAGTGCGGTGATATGATCACTTCTCATTGCAGCCTCAAACTCCTAGGCTCAAAGGACACTCCCAGCTTAGCTTCCTGAGTAGCTGGGACTACAGGCATGTGCCACCACATCCAGCTAATTTTTAAATTTTTCATAGAGATGGGAGTCTCACAACATTACCCAGGCTGGTCTTGAACTCTTGGGCTCAAGTGCTCTTCCCACCTCAGCTTTCCAAAGTTCTGGGTTTACAGGTGTGAACCACTATGCCTGGCTCATATTAATCTTAATAGTATACCATTATAACTCATGCCAAATGCTTGTGTTATGTTAAAAAATGGAAAAATGCCTGTCAGATATTCCTAGCCCATCCTTTTAAGAGTAGCATAACTGTGTGGAAGCCTCTGAACTTTCCAGAGCCTAGTTTCCTGTTTGGCACAGAGGGGATAATTTAATAATACCAAGGGAAGCTCTATCATACCCCTCCCTTAATGGATATTTTTTCCCCATTTTTTCACCCAAGCCCCTCTGCCTCAGTTTCCTGAGTGTAGTGAATGTGCCATTTCATGCTTTTTGGTGGGAGGGCATGCTCCATTAGAGGAGGCAGAGGACCCTATGGGTCTGTGTTCTTGCAGAGCTGGGCTTGGCTGATTAGAGTTCTGCCCTCTTCCCCTACTCATCCATGCTGTAGGCTCGGGGCACCATCTGACTTGGGACTTTCATCCCCTAGCTAGTTGCTTGGCTGGTGCCTTTCTTCTGGCTCTCAGCTCAGCTGTCACTTCCTGCAAGAGGCCTTTCCTGACCACTCCGATTGCAGTGGCTCCTGCCTTGCCCCTGGCCATATCCCAGCACTGAATTATTGGCTTTGCTGTCTGTGATTAGCCTAGGTCCCTATTTATATTTGTTGCTCTGTCCCCCAGATGGTAGTCAGTTCCATGAGGACAAAGGTCTTGTCTTTTTCACACTATTTCTTTAGGGCCAATGTGCTCAATACACATTTGTTGTAGACTGTAGAGTTAATCTGACAGCCAATAAGAAATTGTGGTCCTTGGTCAACTCCCAAAATTTCTTTTATTTTTGTCTTAGATTTCTCTCACTTCCTTTTGTTCTCCAAAATTTTGTATTTATCCCCTTTGAACTTCAAGGTTGTCAGGGAATATTTTGGTGGTAGAAGTTGGGAGGGGAAGGACGCTCTTTTTCAAGTTCTTTTGAAAGCAAGCCGTCCTCATTTTTAGTTGTTCACACCAGTCTAGAACACATGAATATTCCCTTTTGAGAGCAATTTACATTCGGGCTTCCTCTTTTGTGGTTGTTACCTTGATGACATCAGGTTTTTTACTGGTTTGAACAAAGAAGGGTCACTGTGACCTAGTTTCTTCAAACTCCAGTTTTTATGGAAACTCCGGGTTGGAAGCCTTCATTTACTGGGTCATGTTTCTTATACTAACATACTCATGTGTTCAGAACAAAAATAATATTGAAAAATAGTTGGTAAATATTTGTAGCTATTTATGACTATGACTAGGAATAAGCTAGGAAATATGTATGTATGCGTGTGTATGTGTGTATAGTATTCTAGGTTGTGTGTTTTTCATAGAGAGCTAACATTTTCCATTTTTAAATAATGTTTTTTTTATTCTAGGTATCATTCCTCTTTCATTCTAAGAAAATGTTCTGTAAGTGTTTAAAAATGATGAGCAATGCTAGAAACAGCCTCAAAGATTGTCTTGTCTAGGCACCTCAGTTAAGAAACAGAACTGTCTTAATAAGATATTTTTCTTTGGTGGTACAGGCATTTTTGGTGGCAGATATTTTTCCTTGGTGGT